AGAGAGAGAGAGAGAGAGAGAGAGAGAGAGAGAGAGAGAGAGAGGGAGAGAGGGAGATATATGTATAAGTTTTAAACGTATAAGGAGTAAAGTTAAAGGTGTTACATTGTGTCGACACAATTAAAAAGTCAAAGTGTTCTTGAATTTACCTTGGTAACTCCATCTAGAAAAAGAATTTTCTAGACATGGTCAAATGATGTTACCTTTGACGCACTAAACGGTTGATAGAAAACAAAGATTTCATATTTCGCTTAGTTTTGGATATAACAGTCTATAACACCTTTAACTTTACACACTGTGTATGCGGCATCTGCACTCATTGCGAATACGCACTCACCATTAGCATTGACTCCCACGCCATCCATCGGATCGGTAACGGCGGTCGTCCTTCGACACGGAAGTAATCCGCTGCGTATGCACTCCGTCCGCTGCCCAAATCGGATATCTTGACGATGCATCCGCGACCCACTATGCAATTCCTGGAAAAAAAGGGAACGTCCGGAAATGTTGCGTCTCGGATCGAAATGGATCGGTTTTCCTTTTTTCTCTTTTTTTTTTTGTTCGGGGGTGATGGGAGCGAAGGGGAAGCGAGGCGGTTGATTTTTGGTTTTCTGTTGTCTCTCCTTTTTTTTTTTTTTTGGTTTTTCCGAACGCGGCTATTTCCGTCTCGCGAATTTCGAAAGCCGGGAACAATAGAATTATTATTTTATTTTTTTTCTGATGAAATTAACACTTCCATTCTTTTTATTAACGCCGGCCATGAACTCTCTGCTAACTGTACAGCTGCAATATCCTATCGGCTCGCGGATCGAATGTATATATGTATGTATGTATACATATGACTAAATGGAAAAGTGTATGTGTGTTCGCATGCACTCTATTTTTTATATTCTGTGCGCGGCAGGCGTATCAAAAGCAAACAAAAGAGCCTGTCGAAACATCACACGGGCATAACTAAACGCTAGTTTTCCAACGATGCATTTCCCTCTCTTGCAGAGAGTTTCGGCCGAGCTTTTCCGCGTAGTCAATATTTATCTGTAATTGTGTAATCCGCACCGCGAGAGATGATCACTCGACAGCATATATATGTGTGTATATATATATATATAT